GAAACACTTTTTAATTTGGCCTGGATTTATATACAGGCTTTATATAAGATTTTTTTAAGGGATGTTTTGTCACAGCTGTAGTTTAGATGAGGCTCAGATAGATCACTGCCCATCCTCCATCACTGCATCAGCTGCTCCCAGCCACTTTTCCTGACCTCTGTGGCACGTTCTCTCCAGTTCTGCCACATCTCTTGTAGCTTTCTCTTCTCTAGTCAAATACTGGGTGTCCTTCATTGCCTGAAACTCTCTGCACGTGACTTGTCCACCTTAGAGCACTATATGGTTTTTAGAAAGTCTTTGTAACAGGACAGTGAGAGATTTGAGAGCACTATTAGGGCCTAAGGGAAGTCAATGAGAAAGTACTGGTGCTCTTTGCAGTGGGAACAGGATTTTACCTTGGATAAAGTGCTAGTAATATGCTCTAAGAAGTGGTTCTCTTGAAGGCCTGGGTTGTAGTGGATTCACACTGGGACACATTTGTCTAAAATCTGGTGGGGCTGATAAGCATGAACAAGGCTCTGATATGTCTGAACCCAGAAGTCATAAGAATTTGCATGGGTGGGGGTGTCAGCTTGAAGCTTTCACATCTGATCTGTTGACCAATGAATCCCAAGGAGGAAGAGAATTTTTCTCTTCTTCACTAACAGATTGATAGAAGGTTCTTGCTGCCAAACCTTTCAGAAGCTTGTTTGTCTAAGGAAATCTCTAGTATTCCACATGTCTAAAAATAGGTACCTCACTTAAAGTAACAGTTTACCTGCTGAGAATTTTTATTACACTTCATTGCACTCCTTCACTAGAGTTGTGCTTTGTGAAGGGCCTGGCTTGTTTTTGGAAGAATACAGCAGATTGAAATTGCAGAATATTAAATATAATACCTATAGTCCCTGTTTTGAGATAGACATTTTGCCTGGCTGAGGACTGGTAGTACAGAGACAAACAAGAGAAGCTGGCAGACTGGTGAATGTTGGGTGGGATTATTTGTCAGGAGATGTGATGAATCACTGTGGTACAGCATTTCATTTTCAGAAAGATCATTTCCTGAAAAAGTGAAATTAAAGGCAGAAGAGGCAGCTAGGGGTGTTTTGTGAGTTTTCATTTAAACCAAACATATAATTAGAATAAAGGCATATTGAAAAGTTTTTGCTGTTCTAAAAATATTTTGAGAAAGAAATAAAATTGAGATTGGAAAGAATCAGGATGACCTGGAGGAGCACTTGCCCACTGTGCTCCATAAATAGACATTGTTTTACTTACCCCTCTCTAGTCAAAGCTAGTTGGAATCATATGTCTAGAGCTTCAAGCAGTGCTTCAATTAGGGGAAAAATATCCATCTTACAACCTTATAGAGAGGTTATTCAAGCAGAGGTCAATGTGCTTTTAATAGGACTGCACGTAGAGACTGGACTCCTCACAGTGTGAGTGAGAGAAGGGCTCTTGTTTGGTATCGTCTGAGCTCTTAGGAAGTCCAAGGCTACGTGTGCATCAGGACTGATTAATTCATGCAAGGTAACACATTAATAAAAAAGGCTCTTTATTAACACATTAATAAAAAAGGCTCTTGTTTCCCCTGGCTGGAAACAGGGGAGACAGTGGGGGCTTCATGCCAGTACCTCAGCTGCAGACACAAGGGCCAATGCCTGCTTCCCCTTTTTCCTGGAGCCAAAGGGCCACCCACACCCTCAGTTGTTCTGTACAGGGTTATTCCTAGGGGATGATGAAGAACTTTCTGACCCTAGTGTAAGCAAAAAAAAAGACTGGGAATGCTTTAAGGAGTAGCTCTGTGAAAAAGAAATTTTAAATCAGCTGCTCTTCAGAGAATAGCACACTCTGGTACATGCACAGCACACCTGATCAGAAAGTAAATTAGAAACTTTAGTAAAGGAGAACTATGAAAAATCCTACCTTTACAATCAGTCAAATAAATCTAAAGTTCTATGTGTATATGTGTAAAACTCTGTGATATTTCCAGATACCTTCCCATGACAGTGGACATGAAATAAAAAGATAAAACAATCTGGAGATACTGTTTCAAAACATGCTTTTGCCTCTTTCAAAGCTGCAACCCACGTAGAGGTGAGAGAGATAAGGAAATGAGATACACAGGGGTGTGGATTCTAAAAAGCTTACGTCCTCTTCCAAACAAGATTCAAGCAGGCACTTTCTTTTTAAAACAGCAAATACTGATGGATCGTACAATGTGCAGGACTTGACATTGAGGCTTTTTGAAATAGCAGCAGGAGAACTGGTCACATAGTGCCTGTTTTCTCAAGTAGTGCTCTGCTGCTTACTCAGTTTGTAAAATATGGAAATCTGTTGCCAGTTGTGTTCCCAGTGTGAAGGTCTTACACTCTTTTTGCAGGGAAAAGTGGTTAATTTTATGAGTAAGAGAGAACTTGCTTTTATGTTGCCTCAGCAAAATGCTTGCTAGTGAGGCTTCTCCAGGTGAAAGGAAGATCAGGAATGCTTGGTGGGGACACCTCTAGAGACCACGTTAAAGCACATGTGGAATAAGTAAGTTGTTATTATTATTATCTCTCTCAAATAGGACATGAAGATTGCATTAACAGGGGTGGCATGTGAGCCCTTGTAAAAGGGATCATCATGCTGAGCCACTGCACTGTTTGCAAAGCAAAACTTGAGTGAGGAAATGCAAATTTGGCATTTTGCATTCTTTTGGTAACATGCATTTGCCCTTCAGATAAGCATCACTGTTCTCCTCCATGTTCCAGATCAGTGCTGATATGAACCTAAGGCTGGTGCATAGTTCTCTCATTGTACAGGGTGGATATTCTCAGGTGTGATGAATTAATATTCAAAATAGACCTTTCTCTTTCAAGACAACAGATCTCCTAGCTGGGTTTCTGTCCCCGCCTGCCCTCAGCTATACTGTTCCTCTTCACCTCTGTTTGTTTCTGAATAAGAATTAGTTTTTCAGCAATTAATTCACTTCACTACCTCTATAGGACATTAACTAAATTTCAAAGCCTCTCTGACACTAGCATCACAACCATGCCCTTCAGTCCTGACTGATGTCTCTGCTGGAGACCACAGCAGATCCAGTTGAGACACATGGAGCTGAGGGTAAGTGAAGAGCTGAAACCCAGTTCAATCTAATTCTTAAATGAATGCTAGGAATTCCCAACACATGTAAGTTTATCGTTTGTTGCCTGTAATTTTCTCAACTAATTTCAAATTTAATGACAGCTCTCAGCTTTGGTTTTCTCTTCTAATTAATGTACCAGTGACTATGTATAATCTCTGTGTAAAGCCAAAAGCAGCTTACATGATAATTACAGTGGGATCACAGCACCTACTGTTTAAGGGAGTCACCAATGAGAAAGTCCTTGTGTGATAGTTAAGGCGCTGAGATTAAGTTGTACATCTTTCTTGTACTGCCTCAAAGCTATTTTATTAGTGGCTCAGCATGATGGTGGTAAACTTTTGGGAAGGAAACAAAAGAAATGGAGAGATCAAGCACAATCTTTTGCACATACAGCAGAGATGGACATGATGAACTTTTGAGGTCATAATTTTTTGTGGAGTCGTACTTTTGAGTGATTTTAATTTACCCCATAATAATTATGATGTCGTGGGTTGAAAATTCCTCTTTTACACTGTGCAAGATGCTTTGCATCCACCTTTTTTCCAGGTGCTTTTGAAGACAATTCTGACTGCACAAAGCAGAAGGGAAGTCCAAGTGTATGGCAGAAGAATACCTTTGTTCGCTGTGTTAACTCAAAATTAGCATTGGTTACTTCATTTTAGACACCCCCCACTATCCTTCCCCCAGGTGGAATGACAAGTGTCAGAGGGGCAATGACTAGAGAATACACCACATCAGTCTGTTCTACAATATGGGAGAGAGTATGTATTAAAACAGACTGTCCCCATGAAACAAGTTGTGACTTTAATTATAGTTTTCTTTTCGCTGTTGCAGCAGGATGATCTCAGGATGGCACTGTATTTTGCAGTCAGATTTATAGCAGATTGATGGAGAAGAAATGGGACAGGTCTGCTCACCCTTCTTGCTATACCTTGGATGTCTAACAGACCACTAACATTGACAGGCACCTAGGGGAGGGGTAATGGTACGGGCATATTTGAGCAGCACTAGTCAGTGTTTTTCATTTACAACAGAAAAATCAGGTTAAACTATGAATATCCATTAATTATTTACTTCCTTGTTGATGTTTGCTTGATTCTGTAGAAATGTGTATGTATGGTTAGACTAGGAGAGAAGCACTTGCAATCATTTTGGATACTACCTGTTGGTGACCAGTGAATCCAACAATAGCCTGCTTTACCAGCAGGGACTCTCAACAAGAAAGCACCATCTTCAATTGCAAAACCCTCAAAAGCAGAACTTTGTACTTTGATTAAATCAAGAAAAATGTGTTTATTAAAGAGCCGTTCCATTTAGTAACTAAATTCTGAAATCCTCTCTGTCCTGAATTTTAGATAGCTCATTACCTGCTGCTTCAGTATCATGAGGTTCATCCTGCTGTAAGAAGTGGGGTACTCTGGCTGATGGAATAAACGCAAGTCAGAGCATCAGAACAATGTTAATGCCAGTGTTGTTCTCCCAGGAAGCATAAGGAAGATGCTGAGGGGTACTTGGTCACAATTAAAGGTATTAAGCTAAAAGGAAATGCTGTGTGTAGGTTAACATTTTCATATATAGGCCTCATTCGCAAAAACGAGTGATTAAACTGTGTCCGGTCTCCCTATAGTACTTTGGTGGTTAAGTGAGAAGGGAAAAATGTTTGGAAGGTCTCTGTGATGGAAAACATGAACATAAACTCAGAATAGGAACTCCTCATGTTTACAAAGTGCAGGTACCTCTAATAAATACTGGGTCTACTGGAGAAAGGTGTTAGGAAGTGTTGGTTCCCTTCTTATTCAGTACAGGACCGTTGTCCAACACCCCGCTGCACTTTAATTCTGAAATGTGGTACTCAGCAAATTCTAAGGTTTGTGTCTTTTGTTGTTGGTTTTAGATTGACAAGTATGCTCAGCGGGATCTGAAGAAAGGACTTCATTTGTATGGGACAGATGGAAATATTGGCCTCACTAATGCATGGAGCATCATTCAAACAGATGTAAGTCTGAGTTCTCTTTTTTTCTCTTCTTCTTTACCCTCTGAGTTCTTTAACAGCATGTTCTGGGTGTGAACCTAATTAAACCTCCAAATCTCTTTCTCCCACCCAGTCAGCATATTAGCAACTAAACTCTCTGCTTTTTGTAACAAACAGTAATTTTTATTTCTCCTTTGACTAGGAATAGCTTCTTTCTTTTAAAAGTTTATGTTGATGCCTAAATATCATATAGTTCTGTGCTGTGTGGAGAGTGAAGGAGTTGGTCAGACAGGAAACAAGCAGTACCTTCTCTTTAAAGTCAGAGGGGTGGCTTATGCTGTGATTAAGAGCAGTGACATAATAGCAAAGAACAACCTCAGCCCCTTTTCATTTCTGTCCTGTCTCCTTTCACTGCTGTTGTTGTTTCCACTAGTGTAGTGAAGATGGAAACAGACCACCGTGTTTACAACCTCCTCCTACAGTCAGTACATTTTCCCCAGCAGAATTCAATCATCCTCCATCACAGATGGGCTGGGAATGCTTTTTGCTACTGCTGTTCTGATTGTCCTGATTCTCTGACAGCCCTCTGCCAGTGTTTGTTTCATAAGGACTGGTGAACACTGTAGCTGGCTTCCTCCTTTTGTCCTTGTCTGGCTTGCTGAGGAAACACCATCACTGACAGTTTGGGTTTATTAGCTCTGTACTTCTCGTTGCATATTCAGTTCAGTCAGTTCTCCTGGGGTTGATCTTTCTGATTTCATTTTCTCTGCTTCTTGAACGAGGAAAAGTGCTCCAAGTTTTTTTCTGCTTTAGGCAGAAGCACTTGCACTGCCCTGGTTTCACTCAAAAAATCTTTCGTAGCTTTCTCAATTTCTCCCCAAGAGGTGCTAGTGTGGTACAGACAGGAGGGTTTTAATCTTGCCTCTGATGCCTTGAATTGATCAAAGACGGTAACCTCTCCCAGGAATACTCTTCTGTATGATACAAGATAACAGGAGCAACAGGCTGCTAAGAAATGGTCTGAGAAATGAAAAATTTGGGGTTACAAACAGAACAAAAGAACTGGTTGGCCAAACTCTATGTGCATCTTTGGGTCTGCAGGGGCTGTCTGTGCGGAGTGCAGTAGGTTGCCTGCAACAGTACTGTGTGTGAAAGACAAGCACCTCAGGTCCAGCAAACAAGCCAGTACCAGTTTTGCATTCTAACAATTGCACATAATAGGTTCTTTCAGTTACCTTTAAAAGGCCTCAGCACCTTGCAATATTGTTAATATTTTCCTCCTTCAATACTATTTCCTCTTTCCAATACATCAGATATGAGAAGGCATCAATTACCAACAAGAGAAATGCATTTTGTGGTGTTAGCCCAAGAGTAAGCCATGTGAAATATAGATAAAATTTTAAATACCGTTGCTTATATCAAAGAGTATTAGAAGTCTTACTCTTCTACAGTAACCTAACTATGCTTAGTAAAAATGTAGTAAAAATTACTAATGTTAAAATGTTTGCAGTAAATATCAATCAGGTTTCAGTGACACCCCAAGAATTGTTAAAAGCATATAGCAAAGGCAGGGGAAGAAGCATTGTTTGGAGGACTCATGAGATATAAACACCATACTTCTGCTCCCCTTTCTGTAAAATAGGTTCAACAGTATATGCTGTGTCTAGTTCACCTAGTCACATTTTTTCAAGATGTTCACAAGTTGGATTGGATTCAGAAAAGAGGTAAAAGAATAATGAGAATTTTGGAAAGTATGGTGAGAAATTTTAACCATTTTATATAAGCAGGAAAATATAAAGTAGTGATGTGATTGCAGCCCATTAAAAGAGATCAGGAAGGGAAAAGGGTTTTGAAAGAAAAGGGCTCTGTAATTGATCCAAGAGCTAAAAACTCAAGATAAACATATCGGGTGGTAGGATGCCATTGTACAGCAGGACAGTAGATTTCTTAAAGAGCAAGACAGGGTTTTTTGCTTAAAAGAAATGGTCATGTTCAGTGACAAGCTTGGGTTTGATGTTATCTAACTCCTAGGAGCTCATAAGATAACACAGTGCTATCTCACAAGGTGTGTACAGCCATGGGGCATCACGCTCTCAGGGCCACCATGAAATTACCATGCACCACTGACAGTACCACAGTGTGAGTTGCCGTGCTCCTCGTGCTGGGCACTGAGGAGGAAAGCAAAGAGCTCCCACAGATCCATTTTTACTGCTCTACATAATTGGTTTTCACATGTATGTTTCAAAACTATTTAGGAATAGACTATTGCAGTGGTGCAGCAAAGACAATTCCAGCATGGTTAATTATGTAAAACACTTTGCAGTTGAATAGTGCTATCTAAATGCCAAGGGGATTTTTTTTTGTGTAATAATCATTATCTCTTACCTTCCTAATCAGTAGGGTGTAATCACTGATAGGAGGATTAGGGCAATACGGGGGATTTTCTGAAAGCAAAGTCCCAGCCCAGGCTTGCTGTTTGCATTTTGTCTCCTAAGGCTCTCAAAAAACCCCACAGTAGAGCTAACCACATGTGCATCTTAGGACAGTGTCTCAGAACTGACTTTCCTCATGGGACCAGTAGACATCAGGCATTGGTTGAGCTATGGGCTGTGTCTGTACATGAATGGAAAACAGCAGCCTCGGGAAAAAAGCATGTCATGTGAAAAACATGACAGTAACAGAAATCATAATGAGACCTTCTCCCTTGTCCCCTCTGTCTTGCACTCCTTCCTTTGCAAAAGTATTTTTCAGAGCTTGAGCAGTGGTTAAAGTAGTAGCCCAGACATGAGGGACTGGAGCTCTGGCACTGGAGCTCTTCATTTCTCCTGTGGTTTGCTCAGATAGAGACCACACCCACCTGAGTTCACTAGGTACTACTGTCTATGGCAGCTTTTACTTTAAGAAGGAGGAAACTGTTTTCCAGGAACAGAGCCACATTTAGATGGCATTTGATTTCTATGGGACTGCCCAGTCACAAAACAGAGGGGAGTTTTGACTGGGAGTGTGGATATCCAGTGCTCACACAGTGACTTGTGAGAGGTGATTACTCTGTTTTTTTTGTCAAGTGTGAAAGGCCAGAGCACCTTTTGAGTAAGGCTTTATTCTCTGAAGGCTTTGTGCCTTGAGAAAAGGTTTTCCTCTTTTTAAAAGAAGCATACAATTCCTAAGTAACTGGAAACAAGGAAAAACAGGGCCTGTCTGGTCTGTCTTTAAAGAGGAAGTTGCAGTTTCGGCCCATGACTGATCTGTTCATATTGCCAATAAAGGAGTTGGGTTGAGCTGCACACCTGCAAAACATGTGAGAGGAAAAGCAGTGGGCTCATTCTGCAGTCACATTAAGCCTCTAGGTCAGGGAGCTGTTTCAAATTAGAACATTCTATTGATTTCTTTTTAATACCTCCAGCTAACGAAACTCACAGCCTTTCTCGATAGCGTTTCAAACTTTAAAAGGATCAGAAACACGAGCAGATGACTTCTGCATGTTGTGACTGAAGACTAGAAAAGCTTACAAAGTAGTTTTTAAACATGACTAAAATTCTAACAGTTTAGGAGGTGAGTTACCCTGAACTGCACTACACTCCTTTCCCACCACCTGGTTAGAGTTACAGGTGGAGATCATTAGGAAATGAGAAACAGGCATTAATTTTTAAACGTTGCTTCATCCCCAACATCTTTGTGATCAATATTTGAACACTTCTCCTTTTAACTAACCAGGCAGTAATTTGAGAGGCATGCAGAAAACTTATTAGCTTCACTAAAGTGAGCCACATTCAGCTCACTTTTGCTGCTGTGTAATGTCCTTTCATGTCTATTTAGACCACTGTAACTGAGAAGAAAATTTGACCCATCTCCCTCTGTCCAGTCATTGATTCTGTTAGATCAAGCTATACTTTAGAATTACTGCTGAAGCAATCCAAACCACCCATTAAACATGATTTTTAGAACAAAACTGTGTTATTCACCACTTTTAAGTGATGGATGAAAAAGCATATAAAAGGCACCCTGCCCTGTCTCTAGTTCTTTGTCACATTCACAAAACCAGAAAAACCAGGCTTTGATAACAAACTGTCTGCAACAAGGATCGAATGTCTGTTTATTTTCATGAACCCAGCCTGACTGATTTTGCAGGAATTTGCCAAAGATAAGGCCTACTTAGCCTTCACTATTTGGATTACCTGTAAAATATGTACAAGTGTCCAACTCATTAACATTTCTGTTGCACTAAGATAGAAACTTTCTGTTTAACATTAATTACCAGCCCTAGATACCCCATGCTAGAGCAGCAGTTACTTGTTAAAATAAAAAATAAGCTATTTGCAAGCAGCTTTGCATCCCTTAAGTACAACATAGAGACCTCAGTGCTTTTTGGTGCTGCTTGGCTGGGAAAAGCACCTCAGCACCATGACCCTTGACTGCATCATTGTGTTGAGCATCCCCTGCATGTCCTCAGCTTTTGGAAGCCTATGAGCCACTTCAGAACCCCACAGATTATCAGTAAGGGAGTGATTTATGTCTGTACAACAAAGGGGGAGAAAAGATATGGTATGACATCTCAGGAGAGAGAGCCTCCCACATGAAACATCCGAAACAAACTGCAGCATATTGTCATTATTGCTAGAAACACTGTTCAGCAGGTGGAGCTCAGATACTCAAAGGCATTTGACAAGCTTTGGCTTGTTTGAGCAACTCTGCCAAACACTGTATGAACATCCTCAGAACTACTACCTCATTGTCACCTTATGCCATAAGTACCTACATTTGTTCATGGAGCAGCACAATTGCCTCTCACACTGCATGGTCTTTCACAGCTGTGAGCCCTAGAATTGAGTGACCTGGGGTGTCCAAGTCAAGGTGTCCTCAAGTTATGCTATTTGAGACAACAGTTAACATTTTTAATGGATTACTCTCTTTTAAAGTGTGTTTGTCTGGGTACCCCAAAATAAGTACAAGTAGTTTCTAATTGTTTCTAAAAAACATGAGCGTATTGTTCCCTGGTGAAACTAGGAACAGAATTAATCAATTAGGCAACCTTGTCTCATTTTTATCACTTAACTAGTAAAGGGAACAAGACAGGACTGTAAATGTGATCAAAAAATAAATGCAGTTGTAGAAAGAATCAAGTCTTCAATTGCTTCATGACAATCAGTCTGGCATTGGCAGAACATCAGGCTTTGTGGATGAACGCTGAGTCTGGTAAAACTGGCTACAACAAACTGCTGGTGACAGAAATTATCCTTCATGTGACCTGAGCTTTCTCCATCCTCCAGGTTGTAGGACTGTCTCCAACTGTCCTTGCTCAGAAACCTTGTAAATTTTCAAAAGAGAACATTGCTCTCAAATCTAAGAGGACTCTAAAGAAGTCCTCATATTTTGCTCTTTGTCCTCAATATTCCGCTTTCTTTTCATAGTCCCTCATCTCCCTCAACAATTGGCTACTTACTGTTCAGCTTTGTGAGCCTGGGATAAATCAGGTTGCCTGTCAAATGATCCAAAATCACTCCCATACTATCTCTTTTCTACTTGAACATCCTTAATGAAGTCTCTGAGTTTACTGAGCTCTCAGCTTATCTGTCTTTTTAGCTTCTAGCTGGGCCCCTTTGCTGAATCTGTACTGGTGTCCCACTCAATTCCCCTGTGGCTCGTTTCCTTGTTCTTGTGTCATTGACCTACTGCCATGGATCCGTGCCTCTGCCCCCTAGAAGTGCCAGTCACTGGACTTGGCCTTCCTTGAGCAGTGCTGGCTCACTTGCTGGTGCTTTCTGGTCCCTGTGGTGTTAGTTCTCTTCTGTGATCGTCACCTCCTCTCCTTTAGGACTGTGGATCGTCCACTGCTTAATGCTTATAATTCCTTTGTCTTCCAAAGATATTTCTTCCCGTTACAGTTCCAGACTATTTCTTTCCAGTCCTAAGACTATTGATCCTCTGCTATGTCCTTGATCTTTCCTTAGCCCTTTCTCCTATTGCTGGGTCTGCCGTGTCTGCTCTGCTCTTGTGCAGTACACAGAGAATCTGTGTGGGCAGGCAATTTGTGTCCAGCTGCAGTTTGTCTTTGCAACTGCATCCCTTCCTATTTTCACCTTCTGGTTTACCAGGAATTTTTACTCTTTGGAGCCCCAACCCTATCTGAAGGCCTAGGCACCTCCTGCTTCACAGGCTCCATAGGATCAGCTGTCCTCAACCTGTTAGTGAGCTCTTAACTACAAAACCCGTACTTCATCTCCATCTCCTTAGCCTGTCAGACTTTGACACCCTTAGCCATGCAATATTACAGGGAGAAGGGGTCTAGTCCTGATTTATGCAAACTTGTGTCACTTGTGTTTGGCCAGAACATCACTCAAATGTCTCAGCCCTTACCGCTGCGCTCTCTACATCACAGATGAGCCACATTTTTAAGGCTTGCTGTTTACAAGCTGTCACTTCTCACTGTCTGTCAAAGAGCTGCCTCCTGACTCTAATGATGACAGCCTGCAAGACCTTCTTCTTGTTAGATTTCCAAATAAACCAGCTTTCCTCAAATGCATACCATGTGTTCCATGCTGCTCCTATTCATTTTTTGGGACCTGTTACTCATGGACCTCCTGTTTTCTGTGTAGGAACATAGAGGGGAAAAAAGAAAGCTACAAACTTTTTACTTTCACGTCAGTTTATAGAAAATGAAGCCTGTAAACTCACAAATCAAACAGTTGCAAGCTAAGGATTGATTCCTACCACAGACCAAATCAAAATTCGGAGCAGAACCTTGCGGGAATAGACGTTGGTCCAGGAAAGTTTTCTTACTTTTTCTTGGCAGAAGAAAAACCCTGCTGTGAGCACTGAAACGTCTCTATCAAGGAGTACTTTTTGTGAGTACTTGAAGCATCATATGATGCATGAGGCAGCGCATGACACCTCTGCCCTCTATAGGTCTTGAATGGCAGATTTTGTGTGTGCAACAAGACCTGAACACTACAACTCTACCTACAGCCTGAACTCCACAACTGTTACATAGCAAGGGAAAACTCTCTCTCAGGCCAGTGTAAACATCAGGATCTGAATTAGGTCCTTGGTCCTGGTGGTGCAGATGTCTGCATGATTATGGGTCTATCACAAACAAGAGGAGTGGTCTCTGTAGGGATGCAAAAGATACTGTACAGGCTTATATAGGATCACATTTAAAGAATAAGATCTCAGCAAGTCATTTTGAGGCTAAGTGGGTGGCTGGCTTAGCCCTGAAAAAGTGTGAGGTACTGCCAATAGCAGAGAGTGGTTCTGCAGCCCAGTGTTGTCTTTTTTTACTCATTAGTGCTAAAGTGCCTAAATACCAACAAATTCATACTTTTGAGTTAGCATAGAGGCAACAGATGGTGTATACATCTATATGGTAATGAGTCTTAGCTTATTTTGTATCACAGGAATATCCCAGTTCCCAGAGAGGGAAGATGATTACAGTCATTCCCTGTACCATTATGTATGTTTCCTATACCTTTCTTCCCACTACCAAAGTAGAACAAACCTTCCGATTTAGCGCTATTGTAATCTTTGTGTCCTCGTATGCAGACACTTAAAGCACCACTATTTAGCAGCATCAGATGATGACATTAAGAAACTGCACCACAGAGAGACAAGGAGGAAATACATCTTTTACTGACTGGCAAAGACTTTCAAAGGTGATTAGTAATTAAGAGCTTAGCGAGAAATTTGCCTTGTTAACTTCAATCATGATTCTAGGAGTAGTGTGCCACAGAGATCCCACTATCTTCATCTCTTGGGTGCTGTATCTGTATCTTTTTTACAGACAAGAAGCTGTAAACAACTTGTTATAATTCTGCTCAGTCACATATCCTTAATCTCAGTACTCAGCTAAGGTTGTCTGATTTTGGCTCCTGCAGTGTCCTCCCGCTGCAGATGGGTGCCTTTGCTTCTTGCATCAGCATCAACATACAAGACCATATTTAAACATAATATAAGAGTGGAGAAAAGGGTCTATTTGGGTAACACTGAGGAAGTACTGCATTTCTTTAAAACTTCAAGCCCCTGCTGGTATAATCTGAGTGTCCAGCTCCAGAAGGCAGAAGTCAGAACAAGCAGAAGCCAGTGACAGGTCGTACTTACGGTATCGCCTCGGTTCATCTTTTTCCAGTTCAGGTGCTGTGGAGTCTCCAACTACACTGACTGGTTTGAAGTGTACAACACAACCCGGGTGCCAGACTCCTGCTGCTTAGAATTCAGTGAGAATTGTGGACTTCATTCCCCAGGGACCTGGTGGAAAGCGGTGAGTAGCTCTCCAGCACCATCTCAGCAGCTGTCTTGCAGCCCAGGTGAAGGGCGGGCAGGAAGTCATCTGCAGGGCTATACAAAGGTATGCTGATCTTTAATCAGGTGGTTCCTGAAGGCTCATGTTGAGCTGTGGCCTTTGACCTCCAGTGAAACTTCCTATTTAATTATTTTTAGGAGCTGAAGGGTTTCCTTTCAGTAAGCTCTAAGCTGTTATTTCACATAACAGACAAGTACATTCCAACACTGATATGCAGCATGGTCTAGCTACAACTAGCTAGGAAATGACAGGAATGTCCTTTTTAATGTCCCACCTACTGGAGTCAGGTAGCAATAAAAGCAAATGGCTCATACACACACAGGCCCTGGAGCAGCAGCCATAGCTTATCATAGCCCAGGCAGTCCTGAGGCAGGAGGACTGTGAGCATAGAGTGCTCTGCTCCAACCAGGAACTCTAGCTCAGGGGCTTCCACTGCACAGTAGGAAAGTGGAAACTGTTCTGCTGAATTGCCAGCAGCATTTTTTTCAGTGAGTTTTTGCACTTGCCTGTAATCAAATTCAAAACTCCGTGGGATAATTTCCCTACAATGGCCTCAGTAAGATCTTTCCGGAACAGATCATCAGAGCCTAAATTCTTCTCTGAAATTAGCTCAGCAATTCTTTGTGCTAATTGCAGGTATTGCAATTATGCAGGGGGAGTGTGGAGTAAGGCCATCTTATGAAGTGGAATTATAAGTTTTGCTGCTTCTAATGGTTTGTGAAGACAATGACTAAAGCTCTCTTGGCCACTTTCTAGCAAAATTTCATACACATGGATTGGCACTGGCAGAGGCTGAGTTCACATCAAACATGGCTTCCTTATACTTCTCAAGTAGCCCCAAGTCAGTTTTTTAATTTAAGGGCTTAAATGTTCTTCTATTTTATCTGTGGTCCCAAGCAGATCAGTGCAGGTTAACACTGTGTATTCTGGTGGGCATTAATAGTTTTTCCTTTATACATATGTGAAAGCCACAAACTGAAAGCTGAATGATTCTTGGCCTGAACATTACAAGACAGCGGGCACTGTTTTTGCACAAGGTTGTCTTACAGACACTACTTATTATTTCAAGAAAGGTTTCACTTGGGCCAATTCCCCCCAAAACTGGATCAGCAACATGGAGTTACAGCTACTGCAGAATTTAAAGCAGGAAAAAAATAATGGAGGAGTGCCCATACTGCAAATTGAAATGATGGAAAATGTTATGAAACGGGTCCAGGAGTGGCTACTGAGCCACTCTCAATGGGACTTTTGGGTTTCATATATATGTAGGTATTATAAGAAGTATTTGTTTCCCTGAAACACAGAGAAAATGAAAGCCTCATTCTAAAGTTCTAACTGCTTCTGGTTGGGTTTTAGACGGCAAAGAGGACACAAATCCACTGCTTGTTTATTTGTCATGGTTTAACCCCAGCCTTCTACTAAGCACCACACAGCTGCTTGCTTACTCACTCCTCCACAGCTGCTCACTCACTCCTCCAGCAGTGGGATCAAGGGGAGAATCAGAAGAGTAAAAGTGAGAAAAGAGTGGGTTAAGAACAATTCAGTGGGGACAGCAAAAGCCACGTGTTCAAACAAAGCAAAACAAGGAATTCATTCACCACTTCCCATGGGCAGGCAGGTGTCCAGCCCTCCCCAGGAGAGCAGGGTTCCATCCACACGTAACCTTGACTGGGGAAGGCAAATGCCATCATTCCAAACATCCCCCTCTTCGTCCTCTTTTCTCCCCTCTTTATATGCTAAGCATGATGTGACATGATATGAAATCCTTTGGTCCCTTTGGGTCATCTGGCCTGGCTGTGTCCCCTCCCAAACTCCCATGTAGCCCCAACTTCCTTGCCAGTGTGAGAGTACAAGAAGCAGAAAAGGCCTTGGCTCTGGGTAAGCCCTGCTCAGCAATAACAAAGATATCTCTATATTGTCTACCTTGTGTTCAGCACAAATGCAAAACACAGCCCCATAACCACTGTGAAGAAAATTAAGTCTACCCCAGCCAAAACCAGCATAGTAGTTAAAACTACTGTTAAAAGGTTATATGGAGCAGTGCTCATGCAGCATTTTGAAGGTGCACATTTTTTTGTTATTAGAATTAGTACTCCATGTTCAAGCTTCAACTCAAAAATACACTGTACTTGCTCCAGTGCTGAAATTATAATCCAGGCTACATAGCACCTTAGTCAGATCTGATTCTTCTCTGCCTGTATATTCCCAGGGGAATAGAGCTGTATGTTTATGGCTAATACGATATTATGTGGATTTTTTTTTCTAGCCTTGCTATGAAACTGTGAAAATATGGCTCCAGGAAAACTTATTAGCAGTGGGAATCTTTGGATTGTGCACAGCTATGGTGCAGGTACAGTTTAATATCAATTTTCAAATCCTAACTAATTGTAACTAAGTAATCATAGATCCAGATATACTCTGCTCACGCTGGTTTTAATAATTTTGCATGATGGTAGAGTAAAATTCTGCAAGATTTAAGTCCTTTGTGTTTTAATTTATTTAAAATAGGTACAAGATTCAGCTGTATGTCAGCGCTTCATTCATGGCCCAAAGTCCCATTCCTAAATGCAGTGAAAATCTCAGTTTCCAGCTCCCCCTCTCTCTCACCCTCAAGATATAAGCAGAAAGGATGGCATTGCTGAGCTAATTAACACCAGATTAACTAATTAACTGCAGATTAACCTGTGGTTGTTTGGGTTTTTGTTTTGTTTTGTTTTGTTTTTTAATTTTGCCTGGTATGCCACTAGCAGCAGCAAGAGAGAGCCTGGGATCAGAATTCTACTCACATTCCCACTAATGTCAGATTAGGCAGAATGGCATGCATCTTACTCTCTCATATGTCATGTATTGGCTGCAACTTATTAATGCAAATGCCTGATGCCTCACAGGCCCAAATTCAGTAGAGTTTTGGTTTTTATTCCACTGTTGTGAGCAGATATGCTTAGGAAAAATGCTCAACCAGATCATATGGCAGACAGACAATTTAAGACTGTTGTTAATATATTACCATACTTAAAAAAAAAAACAAAACCAAAAAAATACCCAGCTTTTGAGCATCTGTGCAGCATTTAGGGGGTCTTTAAAAGATACACTAAAATAACTCCACCAACCTATGTCAAAGTCCTTCTCATAAATACCTTAAATATAATCAAGTTCTAAGACAATGCTATCTTTCTGACAGAAAGACATTACTAGTTTGCATGGAAGAAAACACTTCAGGCAATTTAAAAATGCAAATTCATATTCCTAGTGAATGCTGTGCAATGCAGAGAAAACCGCTCAGAACATGAGAAATTTTCAGTCTGTCTTCCAGCTGCACTATGTGATTGAATCTAACTGATGATGAAAGTTTTGATGCACTGTCACCTCAAATGATTTGGGCTCCCTCTGTTGTTTCTGTTTCAATGTTGTTCTGGCCCTAAGCGTGCGACAGCTTTCGTTTTTCATGTTAAGAATTTTATAGTTAGAATTATACAGTGGCACAACTTGAAGGACATATAGCCCATGTGACAGAAGAATCTTCTTCATTGTGTCTCCTCCAAATTACAAAACAAGTTCAGCCACCACAGTTTTATTATGCAGCTGTCCCCAAAGGTATTCCTTTGCTAGGAAGCAGAAGGCAGTGTTCAGGGGATACTTCCAAAACGCAAGTGCTTTCTGTAAAACAGCACCCTAAAACCTAACAGTCTTATTTCACTGTGGAAGACTGAGACTTGAAGAAGATTAACAACTTTATAACCATTTTTTTCTTCATAAATAGAATAGTGTGTGTATTCATATACTCTTTCAAAGTACTCATTAACAGAAACTACTACTGATGTAAACACTAAATTTGAAGTGGTCATTTTAAGTGCTTAAAATAGAATCCATACCCTAAAAATTTCTACTTGGCAGACCTTCATTTCAATGACAATTCTTTCAGTGGTGTTGCAAAGGGAAAATAACAAGCACTTAGTACATTCATATAAGTACTTCAACTGGAAGGAAGATAAGACTCTCTTCCCCATCCCCTTTTCTGATGAAGTAATCTACAGAGGCAGCACAGCAGGTCAGTAGTTGGCTGGGAGAAGAACCACCCCCTCCCTGCTGCTTCTCTTGAATAGGCTGAGTAGAAAGACACATACATTGTTGATGAGGCATTGATGGCCATGATTAATGCATTTTCAGTCTCCAGTGATTCCCCCACAGGGACCTGTGCACACATAGACCTGGAAAGGTAAAGTGCAATAAAGTAAACCACAGCATCCTTAGGGTCAGGGATGAACCTGATGTCTTTCAAAGCAACAACTCCAGAGGTACTCACAGAGCCCCAGAGCTGTGGGTTGCTACTATAAAATATTTTCAAGCAAAAGACATCCAAACTTTTTTTTTTCCAATATGCCTCTTCCCAGTATCTTGTGGCTGCTCTTCATAGAGAAACCAACTCTCCTCTGCTCTCATTGTTTATTCTGTGAAACAGTAACATAGATAAGCACAAAAGGCAGACAAACATTAGGAACAGAACAAGGGCATGAATGGGCAGGAAAAGCAGTATGTGATGTGTCTTCCTGTGTGTGAACAAAACTAGTGCCATGCTTTTTCTTGTTGTTTCAATAAATAGGTTTTTTTTACTTACTGAAAAATGATTGGGTTTTGTTTTTTTTTTTCTCTTAGATTCTCGGACTCACCTTTGCAATGACCATGTATTGTCAGGTAGTCAAGGCAGATACCTACTGTGCATAGATACCATTTCCCAGTCTTTCTGCTCCTCCTCCAAAGGACACAGGAGAAATCTCCTTCATGCTCATTCATCTGACCTTTCTCCCCCTCTTTGTACTATGAACTGTGTATAATGCTATCTTTCTGAAGATTTTGTGAATCACCCCACTTCACTGAAGGAGGAAGAAAAGAAAAAGTCAGTACTTGAACTGGCACAGGTAAGAAGCAGCCTTGTCTTTAAACAGAGGAAAACCTTCAAAGAGCAATGTTTCCTTTTCCATGGCCTATGGCAAGACAAAGGAGGTTGCTTACAAGAGGCTGATCTGCAAACCAATGTTAGGAAAAGATTGCACTGAGGCGACCTCTGAGAAACCTGCCAGGTTTCCTTCCCGCATTTCACGGTCCGGAAGAGAGGAAGTAGAAAATGCATATTCTTCAGCAAGAAGGTACAGAGTAGCTAGCACTGAATGCAATTGTAATTTTACTACAGTTTGCCCACAGCTAAAATGTCAAGATCAAGCAGCCCTGCCTCCAAGTGTCTCAAAATGATTTTGTAGCCGGAAAGGATCATCTTCAGAAATATGATGTTTTAAAGGAGTATTTTTAATCTTATGTGCCGCAAAGTCAGGCTTTTAATCAGAATCTGTACAGTGAGATCTGGCTGTTAATGGAAAACAATACTGGACATTGCCTCACTTACTAATTGCCAGTGGCAATAGATGGTTGACTGCATATGTTACATATATTACATTCATTAACACATACTTTTCTGAAAGGAAGTGAAAAGACCCAGCATCTAACCTCAGAAAGAGGAAACCTTTCTATCCTATTTTACATTCCAACTGAAATAACCAAGTATTATTTCTTGTACAAGGCACTATCACTTATACCTCTGGGAAACAAGTAATTACTTTCAGCTGTATCTTCATTTCAGTAAACAACTTATGAGTGGGCTCTCTCTGTCAGTCTACTATGGCTTTATTTTTTATCATTCCTGTTTCAAGTTAGTCTGCCAAAAAATATCACTCATTTCTGCACTTGAAGATGTGTACAAAGCTGTCAGCTGTTCCTTCCCTGAATGTCACCATTTCATTAATTTACTTTGGGATATCATCATCTGCAGGTATGACAGAGTTTACCTTGCTGAGGAAAAATCTTTTGCGCATTGCCCATTTGTCTGAGAGTTATTAAGACTTCAGATGCTTTTATGCTTAGCTTTTTTTTTTCTCCCAGCTGCACGCTGACAACAGCCAAGACACATCAGTCTCTCTTAGAACTGGAGTCACCTCTCAGTACTCCTTTTCACATGCATCTTCCTTTGCCTAGCTGTTGGCTAGAATATACCCCACACTTTCTGAAATATCACAGAATCACAAGAATATGCAGGAATCAAAACCATAACTTTCCTTAGCCAGGGAACAGCCACTTACTGTCCAATTTCCCCACTCATTGATAACTAAAGTAATTTCTGTAGTACCCTCCTGTGCACCCCTTCTAGCAATGAGGTTAAGAATCAGATGTATCATATTGTTCAAACAAATAATTCCCCACCAGCAAGTAGCCCCAGATAATGCATATGTGACAGGGAGAAGCTGGGAAAGGACACAGCAGGGAAGAGGCAAACAGAGTAATGCAGATGGCCTGCTAACTGCAGCCAGCCTTGGAGGATCTCTCAGCCACTGACAGCTAGATGAGAGAGACAGCCATGAAGCCGTTTTCCCAGAAAGCTCAATGCAGCCATCCTTACTGTGACAGACTGGAAGCATGCATCAAGCTCACACAAAAAGTTAGCCTGCTTACAACAGCAGGTCTCAGCTACGAGTGACATTTTGCGTGCTTTGATTTAAAGGCAATTTCCAGCATAAAGCTGGCCTTGCCAACCCATGGCCTATTGAACAATCTCCTTTACACGCATAACTAATCCTTTTCTGAACCTGCACCACTGACAGATTCATTCTCACTCCTTAGCTCTTGGGTTTTTTTGTCTCTTTGCTGGTTTCCTGTAGCCTTCTTACTCTCAGGCAAGAACTACTGAACTACTCCATGGTTTCCCAGGAAATGCTTAGGACAGTCTGATGCGTAAAAGAGCAAGTATCTTCCAAAATCTTACCCCCAGGGGACATTCAGCTGTGCAGGCTAAGTTGAAAGTAATGTATTACTTGTGTGCATTTTATGTGGCTTCTCGATCACTCTCTATCACAGCAACCTCACCACCACTAATGGATTTTACTGTCACACTAACAAGCCTTGACAAATGTTAACATACCTTGCTCCAAGCTGAGTGAGCAGCCCACACAGAGGTGCCCTGTACTCCAAGCAAGCAGCTTACTCTTGGTATTACAATCACCACAGTCTCAATGCTCTCTGCTTCCTGAGTCAGGCTCACCTGCAAAGTCCTGCTCTTCATTCCTTCCCTCTCTCCACTCTTTTCCTTTCTTACTTGCACAGATGTAATTCCAGGTTAGATGTACCATTAGTTCTTGCCTTGGTTTATAGTTTGTACACAGAGGTGCCCCTGCTGACAGCTCAGAGTTTCCACCACTGAAAAGTAGCATAACAGAGTGGTGAATACATTAATAAAACATTGATTTTTTTAAAGATAGATAAAAGGTAGAGAAGTCTATTTGTAGTGATCCCTGCCATTAAAAATTAACACAGAGACAGCAGGCTGATGATGGTTCAGTTGATAAGAGCAAACCATTGTGCAGCAGAACTCCCACAGAGAGCTACTCATCAATTTGCTTGATGGTGGTGTAGGCAAAAGAGAGATCACAGACCCTTATCCGGTGAGTCTCCCAGTAATACGTGCTGAGCTCTTAGAGAACACTGTTAGACTTCAGCTAATCCTACAGTGGAGAGAAAATATGAGAAATAGAGACTGAAGACAAGTCATATTTTGTGGTTCCCTCTAATCATTTTCCACAGTTTAGGTGTCTTTACAGTAAGATAAACTGCCTTGGTTTTCAAAAACAAGTATCTATAGGGAGTTTAACTAACACTCCTTTTGTAAATCCCAGTAACTGCAAGAAAAACATAGTTAGGGGAAAAACAAATGAACAAAAAAGCCCCAACCAAACAAAAAAAAACCCCAGGTCACATATTGCTGCTAATAATTCTTTTTTAAATACTATCCTTACACTACCAACTGAGATGCTACTGCAACTGGTTTATAATTCTGACTGGACTGTTTTCTATATTTGATGTTATTAACTCTCTTCACACGGGCCAAACAGATCTTACGGTGCTTACAGCATTACCAGCACAATCCAATTTCAAACCTCTGAACATACTACATATTACAAGCCTCAGACTTACCATATTTTCTTTTGAAGAGCATTGCATCCTTTCTCTGCTGACAAAGTCAGAAGATTTTTGTGATATGTAACAGCAACAATCTTTTTAAAAAACAAACAAAAAAAAGATAGTTCCATGTTACACATAAAACTTCGAGTTAAACTGGTTGATTATAAATAAGTAACCTGTAGTATATCATATCCATTTAAAAGGCTGCTGATATTGTATGTATGCAGAGCAACACAGAAGTCATTCCAATTGCTTCTATTAGTGTCTTGTCACTTTTAGTAAAGACTTTACTATAATTTTGACTTCTTATCTTTAAACATAAAGGAGGATTCAATACATTTACATTAAAGACAGAACCAAAGGCAATAAAGGAGCAATTCTAATTTATTCTCATTGCTCTTTCTGCTTAATAACAAGATGTGAAGGCATAGGACATATGGCTGCACCTACTGAATTCAGCAGCATCAAGATTTAGCTTTTTAGATTCAGTCCAATATACTTTTGGCTTTTTATCAGCACAATTGTAATGAAATATATACATATATATATATTTAGTAGAATATGGTTTATTTTCCTGTACTGCCACTAGCAGCCAAATCTTATTACTTATACAACAGAATTACTTAGCTCCACATCATATAATGCACAATCACTGAAATTCAGTCCTGTTTCTGTTCTGTGAATACTTCTTTGGTTCTCCCTCTCAGATCATACAAACTCATAAAGGTTTATTCTTTCATTGAATAATTAGCATTTAACTGCAGCAGTGTAGGATTATAATATAGACAGGAAGGAACTGCACAGAGTCTGTAAAATATTTTGTCTTGCATCAGCAGTAGGGTTGCTTTGCAGATCCACTCAAACTCCCCTCTCTTCTCACAAACTGGTTACACTTTGTCCATGCCAACAACCTCCTGTCCTACCCTGTGAACGTGGTAAGAGGCAAGCCCAGAGCCACCTTTCACTTACCCCTTTGCTTCGTTGTTGTGCTATGCTATGAATGTGGCACCAAAGGTAAGCAAGAGAAATCAGGTGTTGATTGTGGTGATTATTTTAAAACTAGACTCTTTATTTGCTTAGTCAGCAAGGATTTGCTAAGTGTGAATGATCTTCATAGATACTGAAGTAGACAATTCACAGCTAGAAAACAAGTCGGGACCTGCCATGGGAAATTTGTTTGGATTCCATTGTGAATTTTCCTAACTTGTCACTGGTATCTTAACACAGTGGGCAAGTCTTCTCAGTTCTTTGAATTTTGTTGCTGCAATTACAGTGATACATTTTTGTGCATTCATATAAAGAACAAAATTTAAAATATACATTTTATTTTTTAAAAGTTATTAAATATTCTTTAAAGTTTACAACAGAATGTCTTTTGTATTCTTTATAATCAACTGCACTACAAGCTATACAGTGAATATATACAGACCCATAGATATGTGTTTGTACAAGTGTGTGCAAGTGCACACACACTGTATGCAATTAAGAAACCCTCCACAGCCTACTAATTCTTTGTCACTTCTCATTACCCATCTTTAATTTGTCCTATCCCTCCTTACATATTTGTTTTTATTATTATTTTTTAAGCGATTTACCCATTCCCAGGTAAAGATACATCCCTTTCTTTTTCCTCTTAAGGGCAACCTGAAATTATGCAGTAGTCGATAACAATTCAGAAACTACTGAGAGATCAGATTTACAGTGTTAACAAAATACTCAGAGCTGAAATCAATTATTTTGTGTTTACAACTTGTCTGTTACTGATAATTTTGAAACAAAAGGACTGGACTTCTCTTTTTCTGAGGTAGTTGCTTGGATTCAGAAATTATATAGAAAAACTTAGAAAATTAACACTAGACTGTGTTAAAATGGAACAACTAGGAACTCGTACTGTGTCAGGTTAGAAAAATGTCTGGTTAGCCAGGTATCTTATCTGAAGTCATGTCTAACACTGCCTTTTTCAATACAATTTATTGCACCCTACAGGTCAAACAGGTTTGCAAGCGAAATTGCCTCCAAACTGTGCATTCTGAACAACAAAAAGGTGTACTATTGAAATTATGGAAGTAGAGACCCAGACATTTTAGAAGTTATTGAAGGAAACTTCATATGGGATAACCCAAACCTTTGGTGGAAGTTTCTTACAGCTCCCTCAGTTCAGTAGGCATGTTTACAGTACTTGAATTTTCTTTGTCCTGTTCAGTGTACCACTGATGGTCTCATTAACCACACCTATCTTTAATCCCTTTCTGAATTTGTGAAACTTTACCCTTAAGTCTTGCATTGTAGCAGAGAATTTCACAATTTCATCATGCTGCATACATTTAAAAGAACCCTTCTTATATAGATTTTAAAATGTTGCCTTTTAATTTCATTTATTCACCATTGGTTCTATACTTCAGGAACGCTGACATAATGATGCTTACAGAACTGTATGGGCACAGAGCAGCTGTATTACCTTTACAGCCTAATTTGTCTTTCCACTAAAGCTTAACTCTAGGTAATTGAGTATCTATTGATTTTCAAGATCCCATTGTTTCAAACAACTAAGCCCAGTGTACCTTCCCCTAGTAGCTAACCTAGTTGTCTTTGCTTTTGAAATACATGTTGGCATAGACAAGGCTGTTTCTGCTTTAATCAACAACTAGACTAGTATTTCACCTGACATCCTGCTGTTTTTCCTCAAGTACACTTAACATAACCCAGGAATATCAGGCTTAGCTGACTAGACTGGCTGTGTAATACAAAGTAGTTTCTGTCTGCATGGTGATAATTTTCAAAGAGACTTAAGGACAGCCTATGAAATCTCATCCAAAGTTTTGTCTTGACACATCAAAAGTTCAAAATGCAGAGCCCTATGTTTCTTACCAGCCATATGTTAAAACCCCAAACAGATAAGGAATTGGTCATTACTAACTCACCTAGCAAGTGCCATTTGAAAGACTTTTTCTGAAATTCCATCAGTTGCCTTCACAGGTCATTTTACCCTAGGCCTTGCTTCCCTCCTACCCCCACAATAAACTGTTTCCCCATGTATATTCACTAGAAATCCTGGGGTTTACTGTCCTGCAAGAACAGCCTAGTTTATATTCTTCCCTCCAAAGCATTTACTACCAAATCTACACCAATGTGTGTTAGACAACTAAATAGATGGCCTATAGGTCATCTTGCATTGCATGGTTTTTAATGAAGAAATAACTAATCAGTTAAATGGGTTTCTCAAACAACTCGCTGGTATCTTTTATGCAGAAATAGTTTATGCAGAACATTTTGTTACTTTAGAATTGCTTAACAGCGACTTCCCTCTAGTTGTGGTTAAAAGAATAATTTGAAAGGATGGGATAATTATGCACTATAAACTTCCCCCTATATTCCTCTTATAGAATATAATTCTACTATTATTACAGAATATAGTTCAAATCACAGCCAACAAAATAAAACATAACTGTAAATAATTAAATCTATAGAAAACAAAAATCTATAGAAAACTACAGCATAAAAAACCAACTGCTAATGTGTATTGCTTATCTGTTTATGTCTCATATGGACAGCATAAGAGTTTCAGGTGTAAAGCATTCATCCTAAAGATTAACTGAAAATTACTGTAGAAATAAAGGGATTTCAGGACCTGGTTTCTTAAAAGTCTGTTCAGATGCACCTCATCATCTCCCTCTTCCACAAATACCTTTCCTTGGCCCTAAAGCTTAAGGCCATTGCTGCTTCAGCCCTTCCACCTCTACAATACCTGATCAATCAAAGTCCCAGTCTGTCAAATGTGGAGAGGATTCAATTATTTGTATTGTATAAATTTTAGTGTCTAATGATAGACATCTTACATGGCTTTACGAAGTTCAGGTTTGATACTGACTTAGGAGACCATAGTCCCTACACAACAGAGTAAAATAAGCACTGTAACCAAGTAATTCATGCAGCCTAGTTATAGACTAAGTAGTGACTGAATCTGAATTGCTTTTAATATCCTCAGTTCCTTGATGCAAGCCTGCAAGTGGCTAGATGAGCACTGTTATCAAGCAGAACCGTCACTACCTGCTTAGCATTCTCCAGAGAAACTAATGCTGCAGGGATGCTTTTTTTCCTTTTTGTTTCTTTCTTTTAACCCAGTTTACCTTGGAAACTTGTTCAGTGTTACTGTATCATCCACAAATGCATTGAACAGATTCTGATATTATATCTCAGTTTGAATAATAAGCATCCAGAATATTGAGTTAAAAAATACCTCATGTCAGAAATTATGTCTTTGCTGTTCTTTTGAAATGCTCACCTGCATCCATACGCTGTTGAGATGAGTGGAGCAGCATATACATCCCTACAGTTTGTACTGTGGCAGCCCAACTATCCAAGGTAAATTCTACAAAAGAAAAAAAAGAAAGAAAAAAAAGGGGGTGTGGGGGAGGTGTTCTCAGTTCTCTCATTTTCAGGCTCTCATTTCTCAAGGAACAGAACCATCCTTCCCCCAAGGCAGTTAAATCTGTTTACAAACGCAATTAGAATGAAGCATTTACAAGTACTCCAGGAAAAGAGCACTTCTCCATGGTGCTGATTCTAGTGCTTTTTTGGAACCCCACCTCTCACTCTATAAGCCTATGCCAGATCTCTTGTCACAGTCAAAGTCACCAAAAGCTTCTTTATAATTCTCAGAGCACCACACAACCCTCCTCTCTCCCCACCAACGGCCACTGTCTTTGCACATGCATTAATTTCATTTGAAAGTCATGTTGGCATTAGTTGAACAGAGAGGGTGCATGGAGGTACAAGTGAAGCTGTTTGGGTAAATTCTTCACGCTGTAAGCTCAGCTGCAGGAACTGGACACACAAGTATTATAGAAACAGTACTATTTCCCCCTAGAAGCCAGAGGTGCTTTGACTATTCTCCTGCTGAGCAGCTAAGTTATACTACTTGGTCTCTCAAGAACAGAGTTGCCTCAAAACCTCACGATTGAAAACACTCCTACTTTTGGGGGAAAGACAGAAATTGTGAACTCAGACCTGTGCACAACTGAAGGAATTACGGATTTGCATATGCAACCACAAGAGAGTACATAAGACTGAATTGATGTGTCATATAATTACTAACTCCCTTTTCCCTAAACAAAATAACTCACCAGCTTGGAAGTACAGCTTGTTGTCATGGAACTTGCTTGGTATTTGGTGCTAATAAAAATTGAAGTTTTAAATCTCCCTGTGAAGTCCGTGCATTGAAGTTCTTCCCTATTAAACACCTTCTTATTCCTAACTGTGCACCACAGCTGGTTACCCTGACACAAAACAATCTTCATTATCAAAAGGTCCTTTGAAATAAGTGCTCACAGGTTTAAAAGAAGAATTATCACATGAAAAACTGGCACAATTAAAAGCTTGCTGCAAATCACACTCCCTTGTTCCTGATGCAATCACGAGTTAATGTACATTCAAAAAATCTGTGTATGTTGTTCTCAGAACTAGAATACTCCAATGCAAGCAATCTTTGCTATGGATCACACAGGACTCCAGTTTATCCAAATGTCTGCACCAGGAAAGGTGAGGAAGAAAAGGGGAAATAAAAATGACAGGTATGAAAAAACTTAAATGAAAGTTAAGGGAGAAGGTTGAAAATGGACAAGAGACCTGAGCAGACTAGTTTTCCCCACTGTAAGGTACAAAAATAGAGCAGTATCCTATGAAATACATGGTCAGCTTATTCAGAACAGACACTTCTTTCAGAAAAGCCCTCCCAGAACAGAATCAGGGCTGCAGCATGTTCAAAGTCTCTCTTCAAACTATTCTGCTGAGTCCTTGTGGTTTAGCAGATTTGGGGGGTTGAGTCTTGTGTAGACAGTGGTTCTCTCAGTTGTTGGACTAAAGCAGTCCTTCTCTGGAGAACACTGTGATTCACATCTGTATGACAAAAACAATATGCCCCACTGGTACTGCTGCTGGGGCCACTCAGTCTACCCCTTTTATAAAGTTTTCATCTTACCACCCCCAGCACGCACACAGGCAACTTTCTAGGAGAGTTACTGAAGCTGACACTGTCACCAGGAGAAGGTGAAAGTCACCAACCGCATCTAGCATACACAAGGTCAAAGAGAAATGTTCAGTGCCATTTTGCTTACCTTTTTCTCCTTGACCCTGCTTTCATACAACCTGCTTTCCTGTGCTCTTCAGTTTGCAACCCCACCTATTCCCCTCCTAGGTGCAGCAAGGTCACTAAGGTACTGAAGGACACTGGAATACTCAAAGGATGAACATTTACAAGGGGTACAGACACTGATTTGTCTTACATCCTCCAACTTCAGTTTTTCCAGCCTTGCAGGAGATCAGTCCAGGGAGCAGGGGCACTGAATTTATATGTAATT